GTCCTGCATCCCACCCAAACTGGGCAGCGCCTGCCCCAGCCCTAGCCCCTACCCCTGCCCCAGCCCCAATCCCTCCCTCACTGCAGGGGCCTCAAGATGACCCCTACCACACCTCTTCTCTTCTCCCTCCCCTTCCATCACAACAGTCTTACCAGCCAGACACTACTTTTGAAGCCGCCAGGCTGTGTATTGGAAATTGGAGCAGCGTCCTCCTTAAAAGTTGGCTATTGGTATTGGCTCCAAAAGTCTCTATTGGTGCACCCCATGTAATTTAATTTCTTAAACAGTCTTTTAGCCAAAAAACTTGGGCCCTGTTTCTCTCTTTCATCACCAAGTGATTTTCCTCTATGATTTGGTTCCATACCTAAGAAATAACTAAACTCTTTTTATAATGAATTTATGGAGTCTAGTTTTTCCTGGAAATTCATATAAAATTTGAAAATCTGGATTGGCACATATGAAGCAATGTTAGTAAAAAGATGTTACATGTGTTCATATTACCATCTGGCCCTTATGTAAAAATATATTATATATGAGATTTTAATTTAGGCAAATTTTCAGATTATGTGAATCAATGTAGCTTTAAGATTAACAGGAGTAAACCAATTTAGGTTTTTATCCAAGGACTCCTGTAGCTGATATCAATCAAGGAATAAATTATCAACAGAAACTGATAAAAACAGGAGTTATTCAGTGGTTCAAAAGCGAATGAGAAATAACTTGACTTTTAAAACAGATATGAAAGCAGACATTAAAAAGCAAGTCAATCTCCAATTAATAATACATTTGATGTATTAAAGAAATCAAAATGATTATGGTTTCTTTATAGACTGGCTTGAAGAATATATAAAGTTAGGAATAAAAAACCTCCATGATACTAAAAAAATAATCAAATATTGTGTAAAAAGGAAAAAAGGTAACATGTGGTACTTTCAGCTTCTAAAAATGTGGTTTTCCATACCAAATGCTTTGCTTTACCATCATTAGATCATTATAAATTTATTTTTTTTGTTGTTATAACATTTCACCAATACAATCAATCTGTAACCACATTTGGGACATGAGTTGTTTCTTCTTCTTGAGACATATCAGCACATTCTCATGCTCTTGGATAATTGCTCATTTAGATCAAAAAGCAGAATGTGGCCCAAGTACATTAAAGCCATCATGTACCAACTATTTGTACCAAAGAATCAACCAAATAAGTCATGTAACTATAATTTATCCTTTCTCCCCCTCCCCAATTAAGAGAAAAAAATATGTACATGTGATCTATTAGATGCTTAGTGGGGAAAACCCCCTAAAGTTAAACTAAGCATTCTACTAAGCACTCTTCTCTCTAGTGGATAATACTGAAACATCATATTCACTGTAGCCAGAGAGCTATTTTTTCATAGATATTAGGGGCTGAAAGGGACCTCATGAGATCATGGAGTCCAGCCCCCCTGCCATAGGCAGGAAGTCTGCTGGGATCAAATGATTCCAGCAAGATATGCATCCAAACACTTTTTTGAATGAGTCTAGAGTAGGTGCTTGCACCACTTTTGGCAGGAGTCTGTTCCAGACTCTGGACACTCAGACTGTAAAGAAATTTTTCCTTATGTCCAGTCTAAGGCTCCCCCCTGAGCCTTGACTTCTCCAGGCTGAAGAGTCCCATGTCCCTCAGCCTCTCCTCATAAGGCTTGCTCTCTTGGTCTTTGATCATGTAGGTGGCTCTCCTTTGGGTTCTCTCAAGCTTATCCACATCCCTCCTGAAGTGGGGGGCCCAAAACTGGATGCAGTACTCCAGCTGCGGCCTCATTAAGGCCAAGTAGAGCGGGAGGATGTCATCCCTGGTTTTGCTTGAGCTGCATTGGTGGATGCATGCCAGAGTTTGGTTTGCTTTCCAGCTATGGCATTGCACTGGTGACTCACGTTCATCTTGTGGTCAATCAAGACCCCCAAGTCTCTTTCAGTCGTGGTGTATTTGTCAAGGAGACAATAGCTGGAGAGCATGGGCATATGAATAATTTACTAAAGTTAAAAGGGGGCAGAGTGGGGATTTACAGCAAGTCTACTGATACCCAGCAAATGCCCTAGTGAGTGTTCTTAATCCTGTGATAAGTCAAAACCAACCTGCAATAACTAAGCCCTCAAAAAAAGCAGCAGGATACTATTAGCTTTAATCTATTCCAGGGTAAAAGCATACAAATGAACAGCTGCAATACAGCAACTGACACAGAGTAAATCTTCATTCCCTTTTTACCTTGTAGTAATTTATTTATATGCCCACACCTTGATTCAGCATCATCCTGTTAATGTGTGAACTTGATATAGAGGTAATTAGAATTATACAAAACATTTTACTAGGGAAGTGTCCTGGGAAAAATCAAAGTCTAAAAATAAAGGTAAATCAAAACAAATGAAAGGAACTTAAGAGCACTGAATGACTGACTTTGCATTTAGAAGAATGCAGATTGATTCCATTACAGTCATGACAAGATCTGGTGGCTTGGTAAAAACTCTAATTTCAGAGATATCTGCTTTATCCAAGGAGTCAAGAGCTTTGTTTGCAGCCTCTAAAGCTGGCAGAGCTTCATCCAGATCTCGTTGAGCATCATCAGCTATTGCCTGAGTTTCTTCTGCTTTCACTTTGGCAACAGCTTCATCTTCTTGAACAATACGACGAACCTGAAAAGTAAATGGCCAATGAAATATTTGCAAAACACAATAATGCTTTTAAAAAATTGTATTTGTTCTGACTTGCTACTTTAATGTACTTGTTAACTAGGCCTGTGCAAGTCGGCAGCAATCCGATCTGGCTTTGGATCTGGCCGCTTCGGATGCCAGGGATCCGATCTGGACCTCCAGACCAGATTTCTGCTTCAATCCAGCCGAAGCGGCTCCGAAGCTTTGGAGCTGCTTCGGAGATCCGGCCAAAGGGTATAATGGGGAATCAATGAAATATCTATAACTTTGTTGCTTTTTGTCTGATTTGGATGAAATTTGCAGGAGTCGTAGCCCCTGCTGAGAGCATGAAGTCTGCCAAGTTTCAAGAAGATCAGTGCATGGGTTTGGGGGGGAACTGTACCCCATATTCTTGAAAGCAAACCTCATGTTACAGGGGGGTAAAGAATGCAGGGATGGTAGCTCCTTGTGAGGCCACAAAGCATGCCAAGTTTCAAGAAGATCAGTGCAGGGATTTGGGGGGAACTGTACCCCAAATTCTTGAAAGCAAACCTCATGTCACAGGGGGGTCAAGACTGCAGGGATGGTAGCTCCTTGTGAGGCCACAAAGCATGCCAAGTTTCAAGAAGATCAGTGCAGGGGTTTGGGGGGAACTGCACCCCAAATTCTTGAGAGCAGAAGTCACGTCACGTGTACATGTTAAGCCACAGTGGGCTGAAAACTACAGGGGTGGTGGCTCCTGCTGAGGCCAC